GTCACTCATTCTGAGCAGACCGGATACCTGGAACACACAGGCACAGCCCGGCACGAGACGGCCTCCTCCAAGAGGGAGGAGGAGGAGGAGGAGGAGAGAGCAAGAAGAGGGAAAAGCCAGACAGAAAAAAAATAAAAATTACGTGATAGCGACACGAGTCTCTCTTTATAGGGAAAAAACCCTCCTATGATTAAACCGTAGGCGTAACCATGCCCAAAAACATACCATGGCGCCACTTTGTCCTACAAACAAAGGCAGACTGCTCTAACAAGGCTTGATTCTCACCAATTATCCTGTTTCAGGGTGCTCAGACTCAAGCAGAAACATCCCTCACCATTAAGGCAGCCAAACACAAGCGTATCTTTGGAATACCGCTTCGTACCTTTCGGAACACGAACGATTCTTCATTGTAAACAGGGTTCAGACCATTGTTCATCACCATCCGCGTCCGGAACTCTTTCCGGATCGTGTCTGTAGGCAGGCCGTACATATCCACTTCTACGTAAGTGCCGATTTTTTTGTCCGATAGAAACTGACCGGAAATTACCTTTAAAGGACATTTTTTTGAAAATAAGGAGAGTCCTGAGATTAGAAGCAAACTCTAATACGTTCAAGATGCAGTACTCAACAGATAACCTTAATCAATAGCCAGGGGAGAAAGTGGTCCTTTCAGCTAAATAAGACTATTATCTACTGACATGACAACGAGGATATAAACTAGCAAAACAAACTTCAGGGCAAACTTTATATGACCTTCACTGGATCACATGAAGCTGCATTTTAGTAAGTCAGAACAAAATACAAAGAAAGGGGGAAAAGAAACTTAACCCGAAAAGAATTGAATTAAGCACAAAACGTTTAAGGGAATCAGAATATAAGGGCCCAATAATTCTGTGTATGAACCTGAAGTATAAATATTACAAAATATATTAAAAATTATACATGTATTTATTGCAAATTCAATAAAAACAAACATGGGCCCAAATAATAGCCTCAGTTCAGAATACAATTACACATTAACCCTGACCGAATGCATTTCGGCCAATGGGCCTTCCTCAGGGGTCAATATTGTTAAAGGGTGGCGCCAGACATTACAATAATACAGTCGTTTCTTAAACTTAGACCAAGGTGAGATTGTTTTATAATCTTTATCTGTGACCTGAGGCAGAGAGATAAATCAGAGGCCTCATTCTAGATATCTTGCTGCCATGGTCAGGAACACTTCCCCTTAAATAATGGATCAATTGTGTACCTTTTTCTCCTGGTCAATTTTTTCCAGATGTAGTCTGGCGTCAACAGTAAGGTAACAGCCAGACCGTTCTGCTGCCTTCTGTGACTGGGCATGGCTCACCTGCAGCAGCTCCAGCAAAGATCCCTTTCTCAGTCCTGCCGCTGGAGACCCTTTTACTGGACTAAATCTGGGACCAGATACAAGCCAAGAATGCAGGTCTGCCGTTGAGCAATCCCTCCTCTCTGGTTGCTCTCTGTATATTTGCTATCAAGCTGTACCTGGGCCTCTAGCCAAAGCCATTTGTCATCATGGATGCCCCTTACCTGAACGGAGCATGTCGCTGCAATTACACCGTCTACGGGAGTTTCAGAGAAAGGGTCAAACGTTCGGTCAGGTCTCCGCATAAAATCTGGTTTAAGAAGATACCTTGAATTTCAAAAACAAAAACAAGAACACACACACACCAATGCACAAATAGAAGACATGTTTTTTAGCAGCCACAGCTTCGTACTGAAAATGTGTGGCAGTTGCTGAGCATTCGTTTCAAGACGTACACAGAGAGCCGCTGCCATTTTCACCCACTGAACCATAGAAAATAAAGCTACAGTAATCAGTGCAAGCTGCGTACGTTGTCTGCTAATCATTTCTGACACTTAACTCCTGCACACTGCGTCCCTGGGCACGACGGAGCCACGCACCCCATCTGTGTGCCTCCCCGAGGTTCTCCTGGAGCACTCAGCCTGCCTCGCCCATTGCTTGTCTTTTTTTCAAACCACGCAAGCTAAAGGGAATTTGGGAATTCACCAAGAAGATTTTTAAGAAACGTAATGCCAAGTTACAGGGCTGGCTACGTGACCGGTGTGCACTGCATGTGCCAGGGATCATGCCAAATGTTTCTATTGTTAAAGTTCTTCATCTGAATTATCAACTGTTGTTACAAACTGCATGGCATGAGTCCCTAAGCAGACATGTTTGGTGAGATGAAGGGGGTGCTTTGGCCCATTCTGCATCTAGCATTCGCTCCGCGGTTTTACCAAGCCCACGTTGGAACAGAAATCCCCCTCCACATGGCATGCCCCTTTCACTTCCTTTGGTCTCTCGGCTTTGTGGTACCGTCTGCATAGATTTATGGCCGTTCAGCGGTGACTTTGCAGTCAGTACAGCGTTGGCCCAAGCAGGGTATCTGAATGTGGCTTTGAGCCACATCTTTTTCTGTTCCAGTGTGGCTTTGGTAAAACAACAGAGCGATTTCTGTTCAGTTTGGTGTCGTGGTTAAGTGCAGGCGGACTCTAATCTGGGAGAACCGGGTTTGATCCCCCACTCCTCTACTTGCACCTGGCTGGATGACCTTAGGCAAGCCGTAGTTCTGATAAGAGCTGTTCTTGAAAAAGAGCAGTTTCTGTCAGAGTTCTCTCAGCCCCACCCACCTCACAGGGTGTCTGTCTGTTGTGGGGAGGGGAAGAGAAAGGAGATTGTAAACCGCTCTGAGACTCCAAGTAAAGGGCGGGGTATAGATCCAATCTCTTCTTCTTCTTCTTCTAGATGCAGAACGGGACTCCTGAAAGCTTATACCCTAAAAATCTGGATGGTTAAGTCTGTCTGGAGCGGAAGAAAAAAGCAAGAGTCCAGGAGGACCTCAAAGGCTAACACAATGTGTGGCAGGGGAGGAGCTTTCGTGAGCTACTTTCGTAAGAGCTCCTCCCCTGCCACCGATTGTGTTCGTCTTTCAGGTGCTCCTGGACTCTGGCTCTTTTCTCCTCCTAAAAACCTTGTTGGTCTCTTAAGGTGCAGCTGGACTCAATCTAACGGTTCTACTCCAGACCAACCCGGCTCCCCTCTGGAACTGCGGCCCATTCGACATCTAGCATTCGCTCCGTTGTTTTACCAAACCCACACTGGGACAGAAGAAGATGTGGCTCAAAACCCCATTCAAATACCCCCGGGCCAAGGCTGTACTGACTGCAGCAGAGTCAACCCTGAACGGCCATAAAACGGCCATAAGTCTATGCAGATGGTACCATAAAACCGAGAGATCAAGGGAAGTGAAACCGGCATGCAGTGTGGAGGCTCCCATAAAATCCGACAATCAATCCAAGTGAAAGTGGCATTTCTGTTGCCGCATGGTGGGTTTGCTAAAACAGCGGAGCGAATGCTAGATGCATAATGGGCCTATGCTGTAGCAATGATCCTTCTCAAATATGAGTAGTACCCACCTGACCACAATTTCCCACTCGCATGAAGAAATTTGGTGCACAACAAAGTTTGGGGATGGGGTGGGGGTCGTCTGATATCAGAGATATCTTGTTAACTGATAATCTGCCCAGAACAGACATAATCGCTTCATTCCCCCCCCCCTGCACCCTAGTTATTTCAGGAGTCATTTGTGCAAAGTGTAATACGTTAATGTTTAAATAACAAGACATTCTGAAAGAACCAAAGCATGAAGCACAACTGAGGGAGCTCCTTGCAGATGAATCCCACTTCAGCCTCACCCGGGTGCTGTGAAGAAACCACCACACTGACGGGCCTTGATGCCCAAGGGGCACGGATTGGGGTCACACAGAATCTTTCCATCTGAACTGTACCTCGTATTGTTTGGGCAGGGAGTGCACTGCAAGTACAAAGCTTATGCGCACACAGCTCTGTGCAGACGGACTGATAAACATATGGAGGGGCAGGACTGGATGGCACGACCAATGCTCCCTCTAAGCTGTGGAGTGTTGTGAGCAAGGGTCGTTTCGTAGAAAAAGAGCTAGGGGAACTCATTAGCATAACTCATTAGCATATACCACACCCCCTGACATCACCGGAAGTGTGTCATAAGGCCACACCCCCTGACATCACCGGACGTGTGTCATAAGGCCACACACCCCGCCCCCAACGGTCCCGGCCGCCAGCAGCGGCCTTGCAGCTCCACTGCCGAGCCCCATGAGGGGCCCGGCGGTGGACCTGCAAGGCTGGCGGGAGTGCAAGGAAGCCCCGCGAAGGCCCTCCCTGGCCCCAGGCAGGCAGGGGTGGGGAGAGGCAGGGAGGAAGCAACTTATCCTCCCTCTTCTCCTGCCTCCTCCTGGCTGAATGAGGGCCGGAAGCAGGGGGCGGGGCTTCGTCATGTGCCCCGCCCCCCATACCTCACCCGGGGGAACTGCGATTCCCCCCGAAATGACCTCTGGTTGTGAGGAAAAATTCTACTTCATGAGCTACCGGCATTAAAGTTGTGAGTGAGTGATTTGGCTACTGCATAAAATAGTTTGCTCTGGAGCCATCCTTCCTGAGCTAAGACAGAAATGTGTGAGCCAGAGGCTAAAAAACTGTGAGCTAGCTTAGAGGCTTAACTCAGCTTAGAGGGAACATTGGGCACGACTCCACCCTCCTTGCCCATATGTAACATTCACACAGATACATTCGTCTGCACTAGAGCTATGCCTAAACCACTAGAGTTTTCTACATGGATGATGCACGAACACTTCTCATGCATGACGTGTGACAATCACAGACATGTGAACTGTGCCTACGGGCAAGTTTGTGAGATTGGCGTGGCAACGTCTTCAGCACGCAAGCAGTGCCTGGCCTTCAGTGGACCCTCTCAGCTCCCTCCGTCTCTTTGGTGTTGCTCGCTACGGAGCTCAAGAGTTCCCGGTTCCACAGCTTCCCATTTGGAGAGGGATCTCAAATCACTCTCCACAAATACTTCCTGACAAATGCTCCCTCTAAGGTGTGGAGTCTTGTGAGCAAAAACTCTGCTTTGTGAGCTACTGGCATGAAAGTTCTGAGCGAGCGATTTGGCCGCTGGAGCCCTCCTTCCTGAGCCAAGACAAAAATGAGCCGGAGGCTAAAAAATTGTGAGCTAGCTCACACTAACTCAGCTTAGAGGGAACACTGTTCCTGACTCCCTGCCTGCCTCTCACCACGCTGCGATCGCCTCCACAACATTCAGACTGAACTGGACAAAGGCACCGTGTTCAGGATTGCTCCAAACTGTGCACGAAAACTCTGCTGTCCCCCCTCCCTCCTTATGCATATCAAACAGGACCCTTTCCTGAAACACAAGGAGGAGAGGGGCATTGCAAATTAGTGTCAGGACTGATTTCTCCAAAGTTTCCCCCACGGAACTTAAAGACAAAAAACCTTGGAATCAGAGACCTCTAGTGTCAAATTTTCAGCAAGTGCCTACTGATTAGATTAACTGACATTGTCTGTGCAAAATTGAATTGGACAAGACCTTCCTTGTAGGGGGAATCCCAGCGGCCTACTGCAGAAGCTGCGCCAGCAGAAAGAGGCAGGAATCATATGCCGGTTTAGCCCAAAGCCTTCTGCCGATGAGGCTTCATTTAAAACAGAAGCCGCAATATCGCTTGATGAACAAAACAGATTGGGACCAAAAAAAGCATCCAACAATGGATACTGCGATAGCGTCTTCTTCGGGCAGGGGGGCAACCTGAAGTGAACAAGGATTCAGTTCCCCCCATTCCAGCATGCCAAACGTCACAGATATGGTGCCAATCATTAGCAGAGTAAAGACTGATGAATGAGAACACACTTCTTCGAAGAACCTGTCTGAAAGAGACGAGCACCCAATCCTTGCGTGATTCACTGTTATCCTTCTTCTACCTCTGATTTTCTACTGACGTGCCATTTTCTACCTTGCTACCCATTTGAATTGTCCCAAAAGCGGTGTAAATCAAGGTCAGTCAACCCTGTTTACATGGCAACAATGTACACTGACAATTAAATGAGGGAGGGTGTACATGCATGCATAAGTAAAGGAAGGGTGAACTATTAGTAACTTGTCTACAATCTGTTCTTTCACAATCAGTGAATCAGATTAATGTGTGTGTGTGTGTGTGTGTATAGAGAGAGAGAGAGAGAGAGAGAGAGAGAGAGAGAGAGAGAGAATGGGGAAGATGGTTTTTTATAGACAGTGGCCGCTCCTCTGCTATTTGCCCAATCCCACCATGACAGATAGGAGATAGGAGGTGAAATCCTCCATAAATTGGTCGTTCATCAATGGGCCTACCAACATGCGACTCTCAATTAGAGGTGGCAGACTTCCAGTCATTTTGAAATCATCAGGGGGGTGGGGGTAGAACTATATACCATTTTTTTCCCTGTGAAAAGGCAGGCCTTTGGGGGAAAGGGTATGCATACTTATCAGATCTAAACTTATTTCACTGCTTTACGAACATAAAGTGCCTGACGTATTCAATTCAAAATTAGCAGCTGTCTTGTTGTATCCTGGAATAAAGGTGATCCGGATGAAGAAATTGGAAACATCATGTGCTCAATGGATGTTTTGTTTTGCAATGGACCAAAAAGAAGAGTGACCAAAACAACAACAACAACAGCTCATGCTTTTGCCAGATCTTAGCAACACAACAAATCCTTGGTCCACTGCTGTTACACAAAAAACAGCTCTACAGAATTGTATGTTCAGCATAGTCCCAATACCCTTATAAGTTCTGTGAACAAAATGTGGAATTCACTGCCAGAGGATGCAGTGATGGCCACAGGAATAAACAGCTTGAAAAGAGGATTAGATAGATTCATGGAGGATGAGTCGGTCAATGGCTACGAGCCATGGTGGCTGAGGGGAACCTCCACATCCAGAGTAAGAGTCCAGGAGCACCTTAAAGGCTAACAAAATTTGTGGAAGGGGAGGACCTGTCGTGAGTCACGGCTCACTTCTCCAGATAACTCTTGATCTATCCTTCTAGATCTATCCACCTTCAGAGGCACAAATCCTCTCAATCCCAGAGCCAGGAGGCAACTCAGGGGAAGGCCTTGGGCTCCCGGACCTTTTGTTAGCAGTCCAGAGGAACTGCTGGGTCACAGGGTGAGACGGGAGGCTGGACTAGATGGATTATTGGTCTGACACCCAGCAGGGCTCTTCTGATGTTAAACTTCAGAAACTTTCATTTTACATTTTCTAAACAGGTATTTGTTCTTCCACTCACAGAAGCCTTAAGCCTAAACAAAGGTACCCACCATCCAAGTAGAATGATAAAACTAGAATGATAAAACAACTAGATAAAACAACTAGAATGATAAAACACCACCCAACTAGAATGATAAAAGGGTTGGAACACTTTCCCTATGAAGAAAGGTTAAAATGCTTGGGGCTCTTGAGCTTGGAGAAATGTCGGCTGAGGGGGTGAAACAATTGAGGTTTATCAGATTATGCATGGGATAGAGCAGGTCGAGAAAGAGGTACTTTTCTCCCTTTCTCACAGTACAAGAACTCCTTGTGGGCACTCCATGAAATTGCTGAGCAATCGGGTTAGAACGGATAAAAGGGAGTCCTTCTTCACCCAGAGAGTGATTAACACGTGGAATTCACTGCCACAGGAGGTTGTGGCGGCGGCTACAAGGATGGACGGCTTCAGGAGGGAATTGGACAAACATACAGAGCAGAACCATCAGTGGCTATCAGCTGCATGGGTATAGACAGGGGCAAGGGATGCTCTGTATTCTTGGTGCTGGGGGGGGGCAACGGTGGGAGGGCTTCTAGTGCCCTGGTTCCACTGGCGGACGTCCTGATGGCACCTGGTATTTTTGGCCACAGTGTGACACAGTGGGCCATTGGCCAGATCCAACATTGGCTTCTTTTATGTTCTTATCCCTCCCTTTTGCCTCTTAGTGGGAACTAGCTTTTCACTCATTTTCACCCATTTGGGGGGCCAGATAGGAATTTTTCCTCCTCCAGTGGATTGGCACTAGGCAGGGTGGGTTTCCCACTCGCCTACTCTTCTTGAAAAGGGTAATTGGCAGTCCTCTGGCTTTCCGTAATGCGTAGGTACTGGTTTTTCAAGATGGCGGAAGCAGGGTGGGTCAACTGGCTTGAGTGGTACGCGGTACTGCTTAGGTGAGCACCCTGGGGCATCATTGGGGTGGTGAAGGGCTAACCCTCAGACCAGGCCTGCCCCCCCCCCCGTCTTCATGAACCTGGCGCAGAAAGCCCTTGAGCGGTTTCATTATCCTCAACCCACAGACCCTGCAGCTCGTGGGGCAGGGAGTGGTGCCCCTCTCACATGCACCAGGAAGGTTGGGCAAGAAGGAGCCTCTTCGCTCAAGGCTCGGGAGCCGGGGGGGTGACCTTGCCCACAGATTCGGGGACGGGCGAATAGGGGGACACCGGACTCTTCTGCATCCCACCAACGGCCTGTGCTGGTGGCTAGGTTTGGAATGGGGACTGGTCCGTGGGTGCCGCAGATGCTCTCTGATCCCTGGAACCAAATACATTAAATAATTTTGACCCTGTTCATTAAGCCATCTGGAGGGGGGGTCAGCTCTCCTTAATCTGCATCTGCAGACAACTCTCCTTTTTGTACTTCCCAGGGGCCCTTCCCCTGTCTTCGAGGGACGCAGCGCTACGACTCCTTCCAACTCCTCCTCTCCCCTCTTGGTGTAAGTGAGCCCAGGTCTTTCAGCGGAAACGGAAACTCAGCCTCTGCAACCTTTCCCCACATCAGTGGCACATAATTAAATGTGACAAAGTCTTACATCAAGGTAACAGTTTAAATCATTACTCACCCGCAAGACCCATTATATTCAAATTTCCCCTGATTCAATTGCATTGCTAAATCTGTCGAGAGACAAAAATAGTTTAGTGCCTCGTTGCCCACACCAAGGACTCTGAGCCGTCTTCTTAATCTAGAGGATGCGAGGAGCTCAGACTGGCCAGAGATAGCCAGTTTAACACGAAGTAAAACCCGACAAGCTCAGTGGAAATACTTTATTCTGACAGCTGAGGAGTTTTAATCCCCCCTGAAGTCAAATCTGCATTTTTTTCCAGGTTATGCAATTCCAAAGTCTCACATATTAAGAAATTTGACAGATGGATGACGATGAGCCAGCTTCTATTTCGAGGACTCTTCATTAAAGCAGGATTTAATTTTAATAACATTTACAAGGGTTAAACATCCCAGGATGATGAAAAATTATAAGGAGAACTCTGCAAGCGGACACTGCAGGTCAAACACACTGGTTCACCGCCGCGTATTTTTCAAGCTGTACAGCGATGGTGAAGAGACGCATCTTGCAAAGAGATTCCCACATCCCGAGAGGTCCCCTTCTGAAACAGTCCAGATTTAAGCGAAAAGAGAAGGGCTTAAAATGTCTGCACAGACACAGTTGGCTGCATGGTGGTCCTTCCCACTTCTGGCTCTACGCCATGAAAGTTGATCCCACAAGTAATCCCAGTTTAAGATGCTAGAAAACTTCTTGGCTTTGCTGCTAGAGAATAATATAGCTGTTCTCCACTCATAGAATCACACAGAGTTGGAAGGGGCCCTGCAGGCCATCTAGTCCAACCCCCCCTGCCCCGTGCAGGATCAGCCTAGAGCATCCCTGACAAGGGTTTGTCCAGCCGCTGCTTCAAGACTGCCGGTGAGGAGGGGGAGCTCACCACCTCCCTGGGCAGCCGATTCCTCTCTTGCACAACTCTGACTGTCAATACGTTTTCCCTAAGATCCAGCCGGTACCCTCCTGCCCTTAATTTAAACCCATTATCGTGAGTCCAACCCTCTGCTGCCAACAGGAACAGCTCCCTGCCCTCCTCTAAAGTCCTTTCCGCACTAGACCTTCAATCCTGGCTCAACCCTGTCCCCGAACTCACTTTCTGCACTACACGCAAGTTCACCCCTGTAATTATCTCAGGGTATTTTTTGTTTCCACATTACATCGAGGTCACCCCGGTTTCACCCCACGCCTGTCCCGGGATAAACGGATGCTGTTATAACCAGGGATAAACACAAGGTATTATTGTGTCACGAGTTGAACTCTGATGATAAAACCAGGGACGAGATCCAAGTGCGTAAAGGACCTAAGTCACTCCCAACACTTGGGCTGACTTTCTCCTTTGGCTTATATCTGCCTCCCTTAGCTCAGCACACTCAAACGGCCAGGTCTTAAACGGCAGCACACTGGAAGCAGGGAAAGGCTTTGCTGCCAATCACAAACCACTCCCCAATTCCCGTGCACACATCTCCTGGGCAGACACCACTCCATCAGGTATCTCAGCGTAGGTCACACCCGATCACTTTTAATCTCCCAAATTGGAAAAAAAACATTGGTTTGTTCCAGGAAATCTGATTTCAACAAGAATACAATGGTCCTCCTGTCTGGAAGACATTCTTGCTCTCTAAAAGCTGGCTAAAGAACAAAGACTGGGCAACACTAATGCTCCCTCGAAGCTGTGGAGTCTTGTGAGCAAAAACCCTACTTTGTGAGCTCCTGGCATTAAACGACACTAAAACTACACTACTGGCAAAAAACCCCAACACCATCGGCCCCTTAACTGTTCCTGGCGCCCAATGAGCAAAGGGGGCTGGTGGCACAGTACAGGGCCAAGCCGCACTCTTCGTAGGCCTCGGCACCAAGGGCCCGTGCTGGCAACCCGTAGCCCGCTCAGCAGCTGCGCAGCTCCAAAGAGAGGAACCCACAGACCCCGACACGTGCCCCTGCCTCCTCGAGGCATCAGGTTTCTCGCTTCCCGGCCACGCCCAGTGGCAGAAACCTGTGGCCCTTCAATGAACTGCCTCACAAGCTCCAGCCGATCCGTGTGAGGACCTCAGCGTGGATCCTGCCAACCATTTCCAGGTGCAGAAGGCTCCCAGCCACGGAAGCACCTGGTATCTTTGGCCACCATGTGACACTCTAAAAAATTTAGAGTTGTATCATCCTTCAGTCTATTGACCCAACCCACAACATTCCAGGAAATGAACGTCATAATCTGATCATTGATTTGATGAGTGTGCCGATCTGCGTTGGCTAGTCAATCAAAAGCGATAAAATCAAATTGACCCGTGGCATCATTAAAAACACAGCCATTTTTCGGTTGCATAATTGTTCAAGAGAGGCTTGTTAGCACTTGGGCCATCAGACATTTCTGTATCAGTCGTCAATGTAGTACCAGTCGTTTTCTTATCTGTCTCCACTCCGCTACAACTGTCTTCCTTGCTTTGGGTGTTAATTATAGTCTTAACAGGTATACTCAGATCTGCCAATTTAGTCCTTAGAGTTTCCAATCGATTAACTATCGCATTCTGATCTTCTTCTGGCAATGCTGAATGTGTAACACAGAGTGTAGGACTGGAGGGGCCACTGGCCTGATCCAACATGGGCTTCTCTGATGTTCTTATTCCCCACCTTCCCCCTCCTGCTGCTCCTGGGAAATGGGAGACCCCCACAAATAGCCCGGGAGGATCAGAGGTCTGCCATGAGATGGGGGGGGGGGCTTTGCTTAAATTGTGCCCTCCCCCCGGCAGGTGAAAATTTTAGGTAGAATACAAAGGTCGGGTTAGAACGGATAAGAGGAAGTCCTTCTTCACCCAAAGAGTGATTAACACTTGGAATTCACTGCCACAGGAAGTGGTGGGTGCTACAAGCATGGACGGCTTCAAAAGGGAATTAGATAAGCATATGGAGCAGAGGTCCATCAGTGGCTGTTAGCCACAAGGTATAGATAGGGACTCTGGGGCAAGTGATGCTCTGTCTTCTTGGTGCTTGGGGGGAGGGTCAACAGTGGGAGGGCTTCTAATGTCCTGGCCCCACTGCTGGACCTCCTGATGGCACCTGGTACTTCTGGCCACTGTGGGATACAGAGTGTTGGACTGGATGGGCCTTTGGCCTGATCCAACATTGACATCTCTTATGTTCGTATGTTCTTAAGGTTTTTACTGGGTCATCTACATGGTCAGCGGTTTTCAAATACTGAGTGCGCACACACATAGGGTGGAATACAGAAATGCAGGAAACTTTTTCCCAGTGGCCCTCCGGCATGGTAGATACAACCTTGTTATCAGCGCCGTATAGGGCACAAGGGACCCTCTGAATTTATCTTGTCCACAGAGAGTCAGTTGGCTGCCAACCTCCAGCTGGGGCCTGGAGGCCTTCCGGGATGACCACTGGTTTCCAGGCTACAGAGACTAGCTCCCTGGGAACAGAGAGCAGCTTTGGGGGCAGTCTTTATGGAAACACATCTCTGCTGGGCTCCCGTCTGTCCTCCGCCCCCAAATTTCCGGGAATTTCCCAAACTGGAGTTGGCAACCTCAGCTGACTCCCCTGCCTTCTTGTCCGGTCCCCCCATCATGCATTAATCCAACTGCTACAGCTTTCTGGGATGGAAACAAACAAGCATCGAGAGAAAGCACAGCTCCCTTCCCACACAACACTGTCACCCCTCCGATCACTTGACTTTAGAAGTCGCACACGTGGATTCTTCTCGAAAAGTGACTCATCTCAAGGTGCTCCTTGGGTAGAAATTTTACGGCTATCGCAATGGCGAGCCTTTGTGTCTGGCGTCAGTCCTGCAGAGAAACTGGCCTGCACAAATGTCTACGCATTTCGGTTTATTTCCTGCCTAATCCGACACACATTTTCATGTTTCATCACGTGACTGGAACCCTCCTCATACGCCCAGAGCAAAATGGTTGCATCTGCTGCAGCTCGCCCGCGCAAGCTGCCCATCTTGGATTCAGCGGACCCGTCTGCCTACCTGGGGTCTGATAGTTGAGCGAGACCATCTGGCACCCAGCGTTCCAGAAAATCTGAGGCATGTAATTGCTGGAATCCACTCTGCCTCCCTTTGGGTATATCCGACTCATCTGCCGTTTATTGTAGCTGTGTTATTTGTTAAGGAAAATGAAATAACTGAGCAACCTACAGACTTGAATGATCGTTCGCTCGCGCCTTTATTTTCCATCTTACAAACCATTAGCAACATACAACTATATGTCATTAAAAAAAGAATACCCTCGGACCATGCAACCGCCTCCTCGGTGGAGAAGCCTCAAAACCACCGTTAAACCCCCTCGCTCCAGTGCAAGGATACTTCACAAACTCGATGGCGTGTGTTTTCAAATAACCGAGCCCGACAGACTCGTTAAAAGAGGACATGTTGTAGTGAATGTTGCGCTCTAAAAAAAAACAACAGTAAAATCACCATCTTTGGTAAATCTGTGGAAGCCAAGTGCTATTTATTAATTACATTTAGAGTTGACCCCATTTTACATCCAACATGGTAGCCAAGGCAGCGTACACAGAACTGCCAGGAAACTTTGGTTAGGAGGTGATAAAGCTACCAGAGGTTCTTCTTTTTGTGGAACTAGGCATGCCCAGTTAAGAGTTGTGGTGGTGTGAAATCTGCAGTACTCGTTTTCAGGGGGGAAACATGCAGCACTACAAGGAAAACTCAGAGGTTTACGACACGTTACTGAAGAAGGAAGAATTAACTAGCGGTGCCAGTGCTGCGTGAGCCACGATTCTCCACAGGGCCCGGCAGATATCCAAATCCTCGTAATTTGGTGCCTCCGTGTGGGCAAAGGATGAAATGCAATGTGGGAAGTGTCACGTTAGAAGCGATACAGGCCCCCCCCCCCTTTCGTTAACAGAAAGGAACATTAGGCTCGATTCTGCATCCAGCATTCGCTCCACATTGTCTCAACACTGAGGAAAAGGTGCAGCTCAAACCCACGTTCAAATACCCCGGGGGGGCAATGCTGTACTGACTGCAAAGTCACTCCTGAATGGCCATAAATCTATGCAGAAGGTACCATAAAACCCGATTGTCAAAGAAAGTGGAAGCAGCATGCCATGCAGAGGAGAATTTCTGTTCCAAGGTGGGTTGAGTAAAACGACGGAGGGAAAAGCCAATGCAAAATCACCCATTAGACAGGGACTTCTCAACTTTCTAGGGTGGGGTGAGGAGGTAAAGGTAAAGGTTCCCTTGCTCGAAAGCCAGTCGAATCCGACTCTAGGGTTGCGGTGCTCATCTCCACTTTCAAGCCGAGGAGCCAGCGCTGTCCGAAGACATTTCCGTGGTCATGTGGCCGGCATGACTAAATGCCGAGGCGGACGGAACACTGTTACCTTCCCACCGAAGTGGTACCTATTTATCTACTTGCAGTTTCATGCTTGTGAACTGCTAGGCTGGCAGGAGCCGGGGCCAGAGATGGGAGCTCCCTCTGTCACACGGCACTCGGGTCTCGAACAGCCAAACTACAGACCTTCTGGTCTGCAACTCAGTGTCTTAACCACTGAGCCACCATGGCCATGGGGCTAAACCTGGTCCAGGACCACACTTAGTTATTTATATTGTTATTTAAACACGAAACTGTTTATCTTTTCAAAACCATATGCCAACGGAAATTAATCATGTGGTTTTTAAAAAATACATTTTTCCCCACTCGTAATAGTCTGAAACTCAGTCAAAGAAAGAAGATTCTGGGAGAGGAAAGATGACGTGAGCTCCTTCGCTGAGACAATCCGAGTGACTGTTTCGTTTGTGTACGAAGGGAAATGCTTCCTCCCCCCTCTCTCTGTGCCTCTGATCACCACCCCACGGAGCAGGTGAGGCTGAAGAGTCCGTGGCTGGCCCAGAGTCCCAGAGCACGCTTCGTGGCCACGTGGGGGATTGGAACTCTGGACTCCCTAGTCTCGGACGAGCCTTCTGACACCACTCGCATCCTGGATACTCAACATGAATCTCCAAATGCATCTCGGAATCCACAGTAAACGCCGGAAATCACGGGAGCGTTTGTTTGCTCAAAGCAGGTTCCATGGCTGCAGAATCCCCTCACTTCCTATATTTGATGAACCGACTGTATCCCCCCCCCATGTGCAGATGTAAAGGTAAAGGTAAAGGTTCCCTTGCTCGAAAGCCAGTCGAATCCGACTCTAGGGCTGCGGTGCTCATTTCTGTTTCCAAGCCGAAGAGCCAGCGCTGTCCGAAGACGTTTCTGTGGTCGTGTGGCCGGCATGACTAAACACCAAGGCGCACGGAGCGCTGTTACCTTCCCACCGAAGTGGTACCTATTTATCTACTTGCAATTTCTTGCTTTCGAACTGCTAGGTTGGCAGGAGCTGGAACTAGAGATGGGAGCTCACTCCGTCACGTGGCATACTCGGGTATCGAACTGCTGAACTACTGACCTTCCGCAGCCTGCAGTTCAGCGTCTTAACCACTTGAGCCACCGCAGCTCCTTTTTGTGCAGACGTACAGAGACAAAAAAACAGCTATTCCCATCTCTTCCATTTCCTGTTCTCTAAAGCTGCAGGTCTCAGGACACCCACATCCCCGCACCTTCCAGCATTTGAGGCACAGGCCTCTTCTCCCCCCCCCCCACATGGCTAAAGACAGAAACATCCCCCCCTCTGCCCCCCCCATTTTGTTGTTGTTCAGTCGCACAGTCGAGTCCGACTCTTCGTGACCCCATGGACCACACGATGCCAGGCCCTTCTGTCTTCTGTCCTCTGGAGTTTACGACCCTGATATTGGATACTCATTTTTTAAACAACAGAATATAAATCTGACATGAACTGAACAACTTTTTAGGTTACCTTCCGCTACAGCAAAACCTTGGAATTTAACCGGTTGAGCGTAGTTGATTAGCGTTGACAGGTAGGGGTGGATATTCGTTGTGGCACCGACGTATTTGTAAGAGGCCATCCACGCTTGCTCATCTTCCGCTGTTATGACACCCTGGAAGCACATTTCGACAAACGTATCAGTCAGTGGCACCATTCCCCCCGACTGGCAATAATTTCGAAGGATGAACTGTGTCTAAATTTCTACAAGCAAGCAGAAATGGAAAGTGGCACAGATGAGGCCTATTCTAGTCATGACACGAGCACCTGATGCTGACGCAGCTTATGGAACAGATCTATAGCGACACACCACAAGGACCTCGACCGGGCATTCTCTGTCTTCTGACTACAATACACAAGCCCGGCAACCCAGGACGCCCTACTGTCTTAGGCCTGGGCACCATCACCGTGGGGGGGGGGGGTCTGGATACACGGACTCCACGCTCAGAGGTCAGACCCTGTGCCACTGATGCCACCAGTAATGTGTGTGACACCACAGACTTCCTGAGAAAAAATACAATCTGTTGGCAATCTTCCAGGGAACACTGTGTTGGCCACCATGGATGTTGAGTCTCTAGACACAAATCCCCACAAGCCACCAGGAACGCCATCTCTGACAACACCACGGCCGATCTCGCGACCAGGCAGAGAATCTCACTTGCAGGATCTACAACAGATGTTTCTGGAATTACAGCACCCACCTGATGTAGTAAGGAAACAGATCAACAAAGCCAGAATTATACCAAGGGATAACCTCCTACAAGATAGGCCCAAACAAAGCAACAAACAGAACACCACTGGCCATCACATACAGACCATACGCTGGTGGTCACACAAAGCTCAGACTGGTTCAATGCATCATTAGTGATCTACAACCAATGGTGCTTCTCTCTCACAGGCATCGGGAGGCAAACCTTTTCTTTCCTCACCTTCAGCAACAACTCACCTACAATAAAGCACTTCCTAGCAAGGGTACAGAATCTGGGCCTAGGGCCCAAAATAAACCACGATGCCAACTCTGCCCATGTTCAAGTCGGATGTTGCGTCATTGTGGGTGAGGAGTTGTTTGAGACTGAGGGGCTGTCCTTGTGCAAGAAAAGCAGAGAAAGTACTGAAACCATCAGCAGGTTTGATATTAATGCTTACCACCATCAAATTACTCTGAAATACAATTTAATTTTTGAATAAATAAATTTTAACGATTTAAAGTAAGGTTCCGATAAAGGAGAATACTTCTCCGGAAAACTCTGTTCTCCTTGGCTTTTGACCTTGAATGCCAGAAGTTCGGCCTTACAGTGACAGTGTTTCCTTTTTCTAAAAAAAACGAATTAACACCAAAATAAAGCCAAATAGCAGTGAATATTTAAAAACAAAACAGAAGAAAGTTTCTACAGGCAGCTGCGTTCAGTAGCCAGCGGCCTCCTCCTTCCTGTTTGGATCTGCCTGCAGTTACAGAGGTTGGCCAGGAGGCGGAGTTCTGCCAGGGGGCTGCCCTAGATTGTGGTCACAGCCAGGGGTCATGGAACCCTCGCTCGCACCCGGCACGAGACCCAAGGAAACCAAGCCCTGCTCGGAGCCCCTGGTTGGCTGGTCCCATGGCTCTGCTGCCTGGCTGGGGTGCAAAGTAGCCGTTTCTGCAGCCCACCTCACACTCAATGGGGCAGCGGGTGAGGAAGTGCGCCCCCTCCCGGATCCACGCCTTCTGCAGTGTGCACGGCCACGCTGGGCACCAAAAGGCTTTGCACCGCCCCACAGCTTCCACACAGTGGCACTCTCAGCTTCAGGGAATCTTTTGCCATAATTGAGCCCAGTCAAATCAAAGGCAGCCAATATTCAACTGTTAATTCGGTGACAACTCCGGAGCAACAGCGCATGTCTTTTTCAACCCTCTGACTGCAGATATTTAATTTTTCTTTCCTTTTCAGTTATCAAAAAATCATCGCAAAGTGTGTCCTGGAACAATACGCAACAAGGTGCCCTTCCAATGGCCATCGAGAGCCAGAGACCACTTCCGTTCACAGCCTTCTTTAGTGTAAATATTTTATTTCAATTCCCAGACCATAGAATCATAGAGTTGGAAGGGGACTCCAGAGTCATCTAGTCCAACCCCCTGCACAAGGCAGGAAATTCACAAACACCTCCCCCTCCACACCCGCCGTGACCCCTGTTCCATGCCCAGAAGATGACGGAAAAACCTCCAGGATTGCTTCCTGACCCCAAAGGGGCCATCAGCATTTCCCTGTGCGCGTAAGAAAGGGCCACGAGAACTAAGCCCTGAGGCAACTCTTCCCGCCCGCCCTCTCCTGCTCTGCCTAATGTGCAGGGTGGGTGGCTGCAAGGGGACCTGCTAAAGGAACAGAGGAAGCCTCCCTGGAGACGGGCAGCTTCCGAGGCTTGCAAAGCAAAGAGACCCCCCCTCCCCCTCCCCAATACCTCGTCCCTCTCAAGCAGTGCCTTTTGTCACACGGACCCGTTACAGTTCTCCTTCCTGCCCTAATAAAGGCGTAACTTTCATAACCCTTTGAATATCCTGACAGGAGCCAAACCCATGAACAAATGGCAATGAAGCACAGATAAAGACGGCTGCATCCTACGTCACAAAAGGACTGGTTTCATGAGGCTGTTTCTAACAGGATGACTGGTCAAAACAGATCCAAACGAGCACAGGGGTTAGCATGTAGGGCCAGAATTCCCACTCTGCCAGGGAAGTTGGCTGGGCGACCTGGGGCCGGCCACCCCCTCAGAGCCTCACCGATCTTGCAGGGTTGTTGTGATGTTCAAGGAAGAAGAACTGTGCATGCCGCCCTGAATTCTTTGGGCAGGGCAAAAATGTCATAAGATGGACAGACCAAAGCCCGGAACACAGAATGAGATCATATATAGAAGGAAAGAACAGGCTCTCAGACTTAATATGCAATGATTTACTTTCGCATTC